TAAAAAGATCAAGGGTAAAATAGTCATTTTTCATCCTAGGGACATAAATGTAATTTTCGAAAATGTTCAAGTGCAAAATAGTCATTTTACATCCTAGGGACATAAATGGAATTTTTGAAATTGTTCAAGGGTAAAATAGTCATTTTCGGGACATGGAAGGAAATTTTGAAAATGTCTAAGGGCAAAATAGTCATTTTCGAGACATGGAAGGAATTTTCAAAAATGTCCAAGGGTAAAATAGTCATTTAGGGACATACATGGAATTTTAAGAAAAGATTAAGGGCAAAATAGTAATTTAATGGTTTCGAAAATGATTTCGAAAATAGTTTCGGAAATAGTTTCGAAAATATTTTCGAAAATAGTTTCAGAAATGATTTTGGAAATGATTTTAGAAAAAAATATATAAAGAGAAAGAGAGAATGAAAGTAGTGTGTTGTGACGTGTGTGGGTCGGATCGAGCTCGAGGGCCGATGCCCGAATCGGTCCGAGACGTTATATATTTGCTAGATTGAGCCGGAGGGTTGGTGCCAGAATCAGTCAAATACTATTTTTATTGACCCGAATGAGACGTGAGGACAGGTGGTGCAGAATCCGAAAAATGTGAATAAATTTTGTTATGTTTGAATGGTATCCGGGGTGGTACAGAGTACATTAGTGTAATAACTATATCGGAGGATTCTGAATGAGGTCCCAAACTTCACTGATTGGTCGAGTTAGGTAGACTACGAGATCAGGTGGTGAGAAGTTGATGGGGGATGACTGGTGGCGTGCTCAGAGGGGTACTCCAGTATGAGTGATGAAGGGCGCCAGTAATTCTACTTTGTGTGGAGGGTGGTCAGAATGGTATTGCGGGTACCGATCACAATGTGCCCACAGATGATAGCCTCTGAGTTCGGGCATAGTTAGGATATACTTCGGAAGGTGTCTTAGTGTGTTGATAATTTCGTAATTGATCATAATATATAATTATTACTTCTATATCTGTTTTATTATATCGAATGATTTAATACTTACCCTATTTTTCCATGTGGATGGGACTGCGATGATCACTTTTATGTAGGAGCGGATCAGGAGTTGAGAGATGGTGATGTGACTACTTGGACAACGAGAGATAGTTCGAGTAGGATAGCTTCGAAGGAGTTACTTTTACATGTATAATATATAAATAAATTATGTTACTATATTTTGAAGTTAGTTAGTGAACTGGAATTTCAATATATGTTACAATTATAGTAATATAATGTAAAATAGATGTTATTTACTTGTTTACTACTTTGCGAAGACATCATTATAGTAGCGATTTTTAGGGTCGTTACATATTCTAATTGATAATAATTATTTTATTTTAATAAATATATTTTATTATTATTATTATTATTTTAATAGTTTAATAATAATATATATATTATATTTTTTTCTCCATTTATTTATATATATATATATATATATATATATATATATAAGTCTTTTTAAAATTATTTAAAAGTTTTATAGATGTTACACTTCTTGCTTATATGTATTTTTAGTAAGAATTACCAAGATCCTGATCTTGATTAGGATTGTCAACATTGTGTTCTTATCTTGTGGTGTAGATTAATTTTTTTATCTTCTCATATTAGTTTTGGAAAATTTTAAAATTTTAAAATTAACTTAATTAGGATGATTAAACATTGAATATAAATCTCTTAAAAAGTACCATATAACTTGTATGTTGCATATATTATTTTAACAAAGTATAAAATCATTAAAAATGATATTCTTAAAAGAAAATTCTTGTTCTTTAAATGTAGATTATCTTATTCAAGAAAGTATTACTTATTTTATTTTGAAATTTCTTATAGTTAAATTCACCCTATTCATTTATATATTTCTAACATAAAATACTAATAGTTAACTCAATAAATAGGGTGAAACACAAACACGTGGCTCCATGACATAGATGTGCAGCCAAAATTGTATTTTTTAGGATTTCCTTTATTTTATGTTTCCTTCCGGTGCACCATTTTACATGCTTGCTTTGCATTTGAATTATAAATAGAATGGGAATTGACTCTGTCTATATTCACTGTTGAACTGCAAAATTATATAAGTCCAAGGATTAAAGTTAGAGATGTAATTTATTTTTATCAAATTGTATCTGTCCATACATTGGACTCTTGTGATTTCATCTTTCTCCCTATGTTAACAACTTCAGCTTCGTAAGTTTCATCACTTCATTTATTGATTAATACTAATGTGTAAGAGAGGTGGACCATCGGGATCACCTCTTTTTTTTAATCATTATAAATCAAATTTTTTATATACAATTTAAAAGAATAATTTGTTTACTTATCTAATTGGGTTGTCAACCAATCATTCTTATTAAACAAACAATTGCAGGATTATGTCAATAATTTTATTAATTTAATTAAATTATTCTATTTTATCTTATTATATTATATTATCATGGATAAATTAATCCAAGGATGTTTATAACAGGTAAACCGGATATATTTGGCTCACTTTATTATTGTAAAAAAAAATACAATTTGAATTTTAGTTTAGGAAAATAATTTTAAAATTTTAATGATATTTATTTAAATTTATTGATTTTGAATAAACTTAATTGTATTATTCTTTTAATTATATTATAGAGATTAAGATAGATTTGATTTAAATATAAATAAAAATACTTTAATGTTTCACTATAATCTTATATCACTTAAGAATTAATATTAAAAATAATTTATATAAATTTTTATCTCTTAAAACATTCTTTAAAGATAAAATTTTATTGATATAATGTCATTGAAAAAATCCTACAAAATAAAATATTTATATATCCTAAAATATTAACTTGTGTGTCAAATAGATGTTATGTTTGTTAAACTTAATAATTTGGTAATCAAACTAACAAGTCGTATAAATATATAAATTATATATATATATATCATTTTAATGACATCAAATATGATTAATTTTAATTTATTTAATACGTGTGTTTATATATATATATATATATATATATATATATATATAAAATAACATGTGAATTAAGAAGTCAATTAAATTAGTTTTTTTATAACATCTAGTCTAATAATCATTAATCACATAGTGAATATCACATCATTTAATAGTCATTCGATTAACTAACACAAAATATGTCATTTGACGATGAGAGATCATCTAATCATCTATTGTAATATTTATAAAACTTATGAATTAAAGATAATATTTTAACTATTATAAGTCATCAGATCGTCCGATGAGGTCAAATTTAACAAATATCATGTATCATCAATCTTTTTCGATGAAATATAATTAGACCTAATCACATATTCTTAACTTGTCTAAAAAGTGAAACTAAATTGAATTAGATACCATCAACTACTATATGACCTAGTTAGTTTTTCTTTAACTTTATTTACTACCTCATGTGTAAACTTTAGAGGACTTTGTTTAATTGACCCTTTCCCTTCTTGAATAGATAGTTGATGCTCAACTAGATTAAGACCTTGTGTTTCATCATAATCTTATGCAGAAAAATCTATAAATTAATTTTGTTGAGTAAAAATATTGAATTCAAGAGGAGGAATGACTTAAATTCTTAAAAAACCTTAAAATATTTTCATAAGAAGTTGGATGCAAAAATTTTACTAACTAACCTCTAAACGACACACTATCAAGTTATTTACTAAAACATGACAAATTAGTTTACAAGAATTAGACATGTACAAGAATAAAACATATAAATGTAAGATAGGGAAGCGAAGTATCATACCAACAATTTATATTGGTTCATCCTCTGTTCAAAAGTTACGATCAATCATCTCATCACACCAACAAACAATTTACTAACTTTCTTAAAAGTACAAAAATCCTACCTTATAAACCAGTAGCAAAATAGAACCCCAACAATTCACAGTGGAAGCCATAAACTGTCACAAAAAGAAACTTGTAATTAGAAATTTCTATGTTAAGTGTGAAAGAGGTGCTCTTGAAAATAATTATTAATGGGAGAGAATATAAAAATGTGGAGAGAGATGTGATAAATAAGGAACAATCTACGTGGGAGGATTAAACTATAAAGAAACACATATTTATCTTATTAAACATGTTATGAAGTTTAGCAAGAAATTTATAATACATTATTCTCCACCTGATGTAGAAAGAGAAATAGTCCTACATCGTATATTGTTCAAACCATGTTTTAACTAGTATTTTTGATGTACTGCATGAATAACCTTATGTATACTAGAGTCTTTTTCAAAAATAGAAAAGGCAAAATAATAATACAAGCATAAGATAATATCGTAAACTTTGACTTTTTAATTAATAATTTCAACGTAAGTTACTATAATTTCTTTTAAGAATATTCTTTAACTCAATTTTTATTTGTCTTTTTATAAACTTTTCATGTGGTTTTTTGTGAAAATATTTTACAAAACATGTGTATATTATTTTTATAAATTGAAAGAAATTATATTTTATTAAAATAGATGATAAGTAATACTTGAATTAACATTTTTTTATTGAATGTTTGTAAAAGGATAAATAAACGTGTTATTATCAATTTTATTAAATATTTAGATCATTTAAGTACTTTATTTTATAAAAAAATAATTTTTATTTTCTTCTTTTTCTTAGTTATTATTTTTTTATTTATTATAATTATTTTTTATTAAAAACAAAACAATTCAAATATTTTATGACTCGTGTCGTGTTATTGCGACAGTAACTATTAAATAAAATATTTATCATTAAGTAATAACTATAACTAATAGTTAAAACACAAATATAATATTTATACTCACAATGTGAATGTAAAATATCCACCAATTTTCGCCATTAATAATTGGTGGCCTCATAATATAGTCATCCTAACCATTTTCTTTGGCTTCTTCCATACCTCCTCACTTGCTACTTAGTTCTATTTTCTTCTGGGTTAGAAGAGCAAGAGAAGCAGCATAGTTGAGTTTGTTTCAAGTAGTTCAACATTAGAAAAAGAAAAGAAGAACAATATGGAAGGAGGAGTTGTAGAAGTTGATGCATCTGCCTTCAGAGAATGTTTATCTCTATCATGGAAAAATCCTTATGTTCTTCGCCTTGCTTTTTCTGCTGGAATTGGTGGCCTTCTCTTTGGTTATGACACGGGTAAGTTTCACAATCTCTCTGTTTTCCTCTGCTTTTAATTCAGATTTAAAAAAACTATTTCTCTGTTTTCCCTTGCATCTTTTGAACATTATTTGATGATGATGATGAAGAACACGTGTAGGAGTGATATCTGGAGCCCTTCTGTATATCAGAGATGATTTCAAAGCTGTGGATAGGAAGACTTGGCTTCAGGTAGTTTTCATCTCCATACCTTTCCTTCAGTTCTATTTTTCACAAGAAACTTGACAAAATTTCCTTACCCTGGCTAAGGATCACATGATTCAACTTGCATACAAAAAAATAGAGCCCATTCCAAAGCAGAAACAATTACTTTTTAAATTATTACCCTTTAGTTTTGATGTAATCTCTTCTGGTACCTACGGATGTTTCAAATGAAATGAAAATAACAACTGTGTTTCAATATAGTATTGAGGCTTGACCTAATCATACATAATAAGACAAAGATAAGAAACGGGGTTTTTGTTGTCATATGTATAATAACAATTTATATTAGTAATTGTTGAAATAACCAATTTTTATTTGATTTTTACAAAATCCGATGCTTGGATACTTCATTTGATAGTTTAGATTTTTAAGATATAACGACACACATTAAAATGTATAAAGATACAAGCATTTACGCATAGCAACATGATGAGACTTTGTACTCAAAAGTTATTTGTTTACTTAATTATATTATATTAAAAGAATGCATATAACCAGTTACTTTATCATTTGTTTTAGATCAAATAATGTATATGGTGACTGTATGAAGTAATTTCAATTTATTATACTCAATAAAGTTTGTTCATTTGATGCTATAGAAAATGATGTTTGATAACAGGAAGCCATAGTGAGTATGGCTCTTGCTGGAGCAATCATAGGAGCTGCAGTTGGTGGATGGATCAACGATCGATTTGGAAGGAGAAAAGCGATCCTTCTTGCAGACACTCTCTTCTTTATTGGGTCTGCTGTGATGGCTGCTGCTACCAATCCATCTATTCTCATTGTTGGTCGAGTTTTCGTTGGCCTTGGTGTTGGAATGGCCTCTATGGCATCTCCCTTATACATCTCAGAAGCTTCTCCATCCAGAGTTCGTGGAGCTTTAGTTAGTCTCAATGGCTTTCTCATTACTGGAGGACAATTCCTTTCCTACCTCATCAACCTCGCCTTCACCGAAGTCAGAAACCATGCATCACCTCTTCAATCTATTTTCCTTCACTACTTTGAAATACATTTTATATAGAATAGATTATTGGTCCAATGTTGTTTTACATACCTTAATTGTTACATGATCATTTGTACAGGCACCAGGGACATGGAGATGGATGCTAGGAGTAGCAGTAGTACCAGCTCTTGTCCAAATCATATTAATGATTATGTTGCCAGAATCCCCACGTTGGTTGTTCCGAAAGGTACCATCATCTTCCATAATTCATAATTGTATGTAGTCAAGTTAATTTCATACAATAGTTGTACCATTTCTTGCCCTTCTTTTGGCATTCTATTACAGGGAAGAGAAGAAGAGGGTAAAGCTATTTTAAGGAAGATTTATCCACCCCGGGAAGTTGAAGCAGAAATCAACACTCTGAGGGAATCAGTTGAACTGGAAATAAAGGAAGCAGAGACACAAGATAAGGTCAGCATAGTCAAAATGCTGAAAACTAAAACTGTGAGAAGAGGTTTGTATGCAGGAATGGGCCTTCAAATTTTCCAGCAGTTTGTGGGAATCAACACTGTAATGTACTACAGTCCTACCATAGTTCAATTAGCTGGTTTTGCATCCAATAGAACAGCACTTCTTCTGTCACTAGTCACATCTGGTCTTAATGCATTTGGTTCTATTTTGAGCATATATTTCATAGACAGAACAGGAAGGAAAAAGCTAGTGCTGTTCAGTTTGTGTGGTGTGGTGTTCTCCCTTGTTGTTTTAACCCTTGTGTTCCATCAGAGTACAACTCACTCCCCAATGGTTAGTGCAATTGAAACCTCCCACTTCAATAATACTTGCCCGGATTACAATTCTGCTGTGAACCCTGGTGGATGGGATTGCATGAAGTGCCTAAAGGCTTCTCCAGATTGTGGCTTTTGTGCTTCTGGAGCCAATAAGGTACATCAATTTGTTTATTACTATATAGTCACCACCACCATTTACCAAATTTACAGAACAAGTTCCAACTTAGTCCTTCTCTCTGTCTCCTTTTAATCCCTATGATTGTGAAGGATTAAATTAATTTAAAGTTTGGTAAATTCAAGAAGTAAGTTGTTCATTTATCCAAAACTTGTTATAATCTTGATTATTGTTGAGATTTAACACTTGTGCCAATTTTTTGCAGCTCCTGCCTGGGGCATGTTTGATCTCCAATGACACCACAAAGGATCAATGTCATAAAGAAGATAGACTATGGTACACCAGAGGATGTCCTAGTAAATTTGGATGGCTTGCAATAGTAGGGCTTGCACTCTACATCATATTCTTCTCCCCAGGGATGGGAACTGTGCCATGGGTTGTGAACTCTGAGATTTATCCCTTGAGGTATCGAGGAATATGTGGAGGCATGGCATCCACATCAAATTGGGTCTCAAACCTAATTGTTGCCCAGTCCTTCCTATCCTTGACACAAGCCATTGGGACCTCATGGACGTTTATGATATTTATATTCATCACCGTTGCAGCCATCATCTTTGTCATTATTTTTGTGCCAGAAACCAAAGGACTTCCAATGGAAGAAGTGGAGAAGATGTTGGAAGGAAGAGAACTCAACTTCAAGTTTTGGCAGAGAAGATGAGTATTCTTACTGTATTGTATCATTTGTAATATTGGAGTGTAACTGGGGAAGTATAGGTGTGGTGCGGACAAAGGTTAAATAGTAGTTAAAAATTATTTCTTTTTGAAATTTATATATATGTTACAAATTATTATTTGGAATTTTTTGATGGGCTAAAGAAATTTATTTTACAAAGGAGCTGGTAAAAAATATATATTAAATAAAATAACTAAAGATGATATAATTATAAATGAATCAGGTAAAAATAAATCAAATTATATAATGTAAATTTGAAAAATCTTTTACCGTAGAAAAGTGAAACTTTAAACTTTAAAAAATCAACTTAAGTTAAATTATTTTATTTTATAATATTATATATTTTATATATAATACATATAATATAAATATAATATATATATATATATATATATAATTGTTAATATTAATAATATAATTTATGATACAAAAATAATTTAATTTTAAATTTTAAAAATGTTGGACGCGATTTATTAACACTGGTCTATATTTATCTTTATATATAAATATATAAAAGTTAAATCTTAAAATAAAATAAATTTAGATTATTAACTAATTGTAAAAATTATTTTCTTTTAATTCATTTGCAAATTTCACCTATGAAAAGTTAGTTATGATTCATTTGAACTCATTACCTTGTTAAAATATTTATATATAAAAAAAATCTAGAATCTAAACCTTAACATATATACAAACATCAGTAAACCTATAAAGAGAAAAAAAATCAAGAAGTTGATTCTTAAACTTTAAAGAATCTTCAAAAAGATCCCGAAATATGGAAGATTACTCCAAAGAAATGAGATTACTGTGATTGAAGGTTAAGATAGAGAATCCCAATATATAATGGTAAGATTTCTCAATTACTTAAAAAAATATATTTAAAAAGGGAAGTGTACCAAAGAAAACCTAAGTTTCTCTCGCATCATCATCTTCTTTCTATCATTCATTTTCCTTATATCCTTTCATTGACATTGTATATTATTTTCCAACACAAATGAATTGAGTCAAAAAAGTTGGTTAACAGATAGGCCACACGAGTTTATTAGACTAGCTTAGTAGACTTCATATAAGCTTATTAGATGGTCCTAGTAAGCGAGTTCATCAAGCATATTATCAACCAACTAGTTACTAGAATCAATTAGAATGGTAGCATGTGAGACAAACAATTGTGGGATAGACAAGCTACTAAGGGTCAATTGGAACTATTAAAAGTTAGATAACTTATTCGAAGATAATTGTTATAGTCATTAGCGATATTAAAATAGGTTTAGTCTAATATACCTATATGAAATATTCGAGAAATAGATCAAACTTGATCAAAATATTTTGTGACCTAAATTAAATCATATATATTTTTGTCTTATCTATTTAGATCATGGTTCATATAGATTTAGGTTAAACTAGTTTATAAACTTATGAGTCAATCCATTTTATAGAATAATAATTAATTCTTTCTTTAAATAAAAATAAAAGTAATATTTTATAAAAAAAAACTATAAGTATTATAAATTAATTTGACAAAGATTTTTCTATAAGTAAATATCAAAATAAATTTTTAATAATCACTTATTTTAAGATATAATGATTAAAATTAATTACTATTTTAAATTAATAAATTACTAAAAATAAATAATAATAATAATAATAATAATAATAATAATAAGTTTTCAATTTGATATTGAATAGATGTATTCTCCTATAATTTATATATTAAATATTATATTTTAAACAAAAATTAATTTCATTATTAAAATTTAAATTTTTAAAATATATTTTTATTTTTTATTTTTATTTAAATATTTTTTTAATTAATTAATTTTATATAAATATGTTAATATTAAAAAAATTAATTAGACCAAAATTAATCTGTTAATATATTTTAAAATATAGATAAAATTGAATTATAAAAAAAATATTTTTTTAAGGACGGATAAGATTAAACTAAATCGGTTACATAGAGTGTCAATTGATGCTAAGTATCATTAAATGCTATAATAACTACATAGAGTATGGCAACGGGCGGGGTGGGGGCGGGTTTTGCCTCCCCAATCCCCGCCCCGACTTTTTAAACAATTCTCGTCCCCGTCCTCTATCGCCGTCGGGGTTAGAAATTAAGTTCTCATTCCCGTTGGGTTTCGGGTTCCTCGCCGCCACCGTCCCCAATTTATATTATTTTTAAAAAGATAATTACATTTATAATAAATTAATTTTACTATGTATTTTTATATATAAATAAATATTTATAATTTATAATTATTATTAATTAAATATACATTTTAATTTATTATATTTATATTAAAATATATATGTAAAAAGAAATATTTAATCATTTTTTATTTATATAATATATATATATATATATATATATATCTAATATTTATAACATTATTATTATTATAACACTATATTTAAATATTTATAACATTATTATTATAATACTGTATTTAAACATTTGATTATATATATATATATATATATATATATATATATAAGTTAATTCATTTTTAAGTTGTCATTAAAAATATGAAATATATAGTTTATAAGGAAATATTTAATAAGTTAATTCTTATTTAATTATTTTGAAGTAATAAAAGTTTAAATTATTAATTCCTTCTAATCCTTTAAAATATAATTATTTTATTAAGATAAAATTTGATATATGATAAATAAGCATAATAAGATAAAAAAATATGACATATAAAATATAATAAATATAAATTATAAATAAACTAATATTAGTTACTACTAAGATTTATGTAAAATATTTAGAAAAAAGATAAAGAAGAAAAAAAACTTTGTGTTCATCAAATTAGTTGAAAAGATTGAAAAAAAAACAAATTGATGGGAGAGATTAAAGAAATATGAAAAATTGAAAGATAAGAGAAAGAATAATATAATAAATTAATTGATATAAAAGATTGAAAAAGATAAAAAAAATTAAAAAGTGGATAGAAGAAAAATAAAAATTGGTGAAATATAAAAAAAATAACCTTATATGTAATAGAAAAAGAAAATGGAATAGTTTTAAAATATTAATATTTTAAAATTTAAATTTAAATATAAAGTCGGGACGGGGACGAGGTCGGGGTGGAGATTGCATTACCCATCCCCAACTTTTTAAAGCAGACAAAACCTGAATCCGACCTCACCCCGATTAACTCAGGTTTTCTCTGTTAAACTCAGAGCGTGTATAATGGTTTAATTGGGATCGTCACCTACCTTATTATTTAAGATGCAACTTCATTAAATGACTATTCTCAAAAGAATTATCATCTATCACGTTATCTATGTGTATGTAAATCTTCATTAATATAATGCTCTGAATTAAAAAATTTAATTTTCCTTCATGTCTTTTGACTTTTAGTTAAGATGGGGAATCTTAGTTTGTGGACAAGTTTTTTTGAAAGAAACAATCTAGTCTACTTTTTACAAGTGTATGGTTAGAGTTAATTAGGAAAAGTTAAAACGTCACTGTCCCTTTTCAATTGGTGATATAACCTGAAAAGAGGCTAAGGGAGGAGAAACGTTTCTCAAAATTTTCACCTCCTATTTATCTAAATTTTATATTTTCTTAAACAATTAATTATAAAAAATATATTCTGTATTTTATCAGTCATTTTTACATTAAGTTTTCTAAATATTTTAATAAAAAAACTTATAATTGAACTAGTGATAATTATTACTAATGAAGGATTACGAGCATAATAACTTTAAGTTGTTAAAAGGACTGTCAAACCCAATTTGGCATGATCTTATGAACATGAACATTGTAGAAATTTTTTATAGTTTAGTCAAAATTATATTTTAAAATAGATTATAATTTTTAGTTTGATATGATTCTACGTTAGGTGAATAGAGTAAGATGTTAAATTTGACCTAATTGAAAAATAACAAAAAATATTAACATATTCATACATAAATAATTAATTAAAATTTATTTAAATAAAAATAAAAATATATTTTTAAAATTTAAATTATATTAATAAAATAATTTTTAATTAAAATATAATAATTTAATATATAGGTTATAAAAAAATGAATTCATTTCATATCAAAATAAGATTTATTATCATTTATTTTTAATAATTTAATAATCTAAAATAATAATTAATCTTAACGATTATATCTTGAAATAAGTGATTATTAAAAATATATTCTTTTTAAAATAATTGAAATTTTTATCAAAATAATTTATAATAAATTATATTTAAAAAAATTTTAATTTAATCTAAAATCATGTAAGTCATAATCTAAATAAATCTAACTAAAATATACTTAATTTAATTTAGTTCATAAATTTTTTAACATAATTTAACTTATTTCTCATACTAATTTATGAAGTTAAGCTTATTTTTAGATCTCTAACTATAAATTTATTAATAATATATATATATATATATATATATATATTTAAGTTTATTTATTTATAACAAAATTTAAAGTTTTACATTATTGGATCCATTTAAAAGACAGGCCTAGCCTTAAACGCACTGGACTAGTTGGCTTACCCACTCGTACATGTAAGTACCCGTTGAATCTAAAACACTTAAAAGGGTCCATATATATATATATATATATATATATATATATATATATATATATATATATATATATATATATATATATATATATATCTTTTTTATTTTTTTCTTTCTATTAAGCTGAGTATTTTATTATTGAAAGATATGGAAATAGATTGTCATCACATAAATTATAATTATTAATTATATAAGTGAATTTTTGAACAATATTTATGAAATTAAATCTGACATTTTTAAAACTACATAAAATACCTAACAGTTGTCAATTTTAAATATAGGCGGATAAAAATAAATTTATTCTAAATTTAAATATCTGAAATATATTTGAAGGTATTTAAAATAATAAAAGTTAATTTCGTTAAACGTCATCAACGAAATTAATATCTCAATGTGAATAGAAAAATAAGATCATAAGCTGTTTGAAAGAGTCTTGCTGTATTGGAC